TCCCCTGTGGGGCCAAAAGGTGGTGGTTTTTTACCATGGAAAACACAGGGATATGGCCCAAAAAAGGGGGGAAAAAAAGGTGGAAACACACTTGCTATGAATGTTTTTTGGGGACTGGTAAGTTTAACAAAGCGGCTGCTGACATGAAAAGCTAGGAGTCAAAGGACCCAAAACTCAGCTGAAGAACATTCACAGGTGAAAATAGCCTATCCCGTCCCATTATACTATACTGGAATGCCCTATCCCGTTCTATAATACTCGTTGGTTAATCGCTATTACGATTTATGGATGAGTTGCACACTTCCCATTAAACCATCAATCATCATATATCAACCATAGTACACCATTTGTAGTGGTTGAAACCATTTAAAGCCCCTGGTAACACATTGAAGCCAGGAACAAATAACCAACCAATAGTTGGGTGTGCACAGCTCTCCTTGAAGTATAGGCCATTGCAGTAGCTGGGCGCCAAAATGTTCCATGAGAGCAGTCGAATAGTCTCCTCCTGAAGAATGGAGCAGGCATTCAAAAGTGGCGAAACAAGAAAATATGCAGAGCATGGCCCTGCATGTAATACCCATGTAATATTATGTGTATATATATATATGCAAGAACATGCTGGATCAAGTGTCAATATCTCATACAGGTCAAGGATCCAATCAGAAAAATTGAGAGTATGCTTCTTGTAATCCCCACATCACTGTGGCCCTGCCTCGACATGTGAGCAGCCTGGGAAGGGTTCCAAAGCAGCCACTGGGAGCAGCTCGAAGATGGCATTTTGATCCAGTTCAGAGGTGTCCTGACGCAGTCTCACTGGAAACCGACGACACCCAGTTGCTCCATTAGACATATCGGAAAGTCGTTTGACTCCTCATTTTCCATCATTTTTCAATCATGTTTCCATCATTTTCCCATCATTTCTGGCATGTTTGATTGCAGCCACTTCTAGCCTCTGGAGAGATTCCAGGCTGACTCTTCCATCAACCCTGCAGGACCGGAGCCGGTCCCATAAAATATTGAAGGTTCCTAGGTTTCCATGGCCATAAGTTGATATATGTTGATATATGTTGATATATGTTGATATACGTTGATATTAAATCATTGCCAAATTTGGTTCTGACCGTTCTGACCGTTCTGACGGTTCTGACCGTTCTGACCCATCCCCACCTCGGTTTCTTCGTTCCTTCCCCGGGTTAGAGCATCCATCCTCTCCACCTGTCCTCTTCCCAAACCTGTCGACACTGCGGTTGACCACGGTCATTCACTCCCTGAATCGCAGGCCACCACAGAGCGCGGGGATGAGAGCGGAGCAACTGGGAAGACTCCCTCATTCTGGAGCCTTGTTTCAATGTCCATCCTACTTCACTGAATCTTCACCCCAGCTTCAACATTGGGGGGGTGCCAAAAAATCATCATTTCAATGGGGAGATGGCCATAATTTTTCGCTGATAAACCAATAACAACCACGGGATCTGGGGGCAAAGACACACGCTGGGAGGAGTGAGAGTCTGTCTGGGCACACCAATGCTGGGGTCCACGCCAGGGTGAAAACCACCTTCGCACCTGCAAATGGCAAACCCTTGAGCAACTGTGGAGAAAATAAACAGCAACACAACACATTTGCCAGACATATCATAAAGAGGGCAAATCCATGGCTTCATCCCCAGAAAACAAAACTTCGGCACAGTTTAGTAGTTTAGTGTTCCCAGCCGAGTCCGGGAGATGTTTTTTGTCCAGCATCAAACGGCGCCAACAGAGACGAGGCACCACAAACGATTCCGGCAGGGAGCAAGGATGCGTGTACATAGACATCGCCTTGCGTGAACTCACATGGGGCCCAACAGTTCCCTCACAAGCACACAAAGAGGGTACAACATGGTACAACCATACAACGGTACAACAACGAAGAAGGCAACCAATCCACGGTTGCAAGAGCAACGCGTTTCCAATTGCACAATCCCATGTTTCCAATCTGCAAAGGGAGATGGGGCACCAAGCAATCTTCCTTCATGTGTGAGGTGCGAAGACTCAGAAGCTGGTACGCAGGGCCATTCATTGAGGTCCTCCGCCCATCCTTTGCACAAACCCATGGATAGGTTCCCATCATTGTTGTTAGTTCAATGCCAAAGTTGCCCGGTTAGTCCCCAAGTCTCATTGGTCGACCACCGCCGCATGATTTCCCTGAAAAAATTGTGCGAGCCGCATCTGGCTGGTGAAATCCCTCATCTGTTGTTGTGGCGAAATTCACATGAAATCCCATCAAATCCTTCATTTGTCTTGTATGACTCGTGCGTTTTGGTCCTTCAAAATCCCACCCATAGTAATATGTGCCTTAACTCCACCTCACGCAACAAAGCTTTCCCCCACATCATCGCCGAGCTGAGGGGCGTCCGAACTTCTCTTGGAGCTCCTTGTTATGTACAAAGCCATAGCCCGTGGCACTGGAAAAACTCCTCAGGTGCCCTGGGAAGACCACGTCGGACGATGGATCCCATTGATCCATCTGGCTCCTGTGGCAGGGGCGGGTCCGCGGTGGGGGCACGGGTCTTGAAGCACTGGGGGATAACAGGAATACCAATTCCTCTTGGAGGTCTGGTAAAAGCGGGGTACCCCCCAATCATCCAAGTCATGAACGACCAAACTACAGTACTGAAACCCATGCTGACTTGGGGATGACCCATTTTAAGAAACCTCCCTGTGCAATCTGATGGGCCGTAATGTAAGGTCATGTCACGTATTTATCCCGAATATATCCCATGCTGAACATGAAAAATTGATAAAACACTCTATGTTGACAGGAACATCCTATTCCCGGGCAGGTTCTCCGCCTTCGTTGCTTCAACTAGTCGTTATTAGTCGGTTATTAGTCGGCCATCAACCTGGAAGAAGGTGATTCTGGAGGTTCCCCTCAACTATCATGTGGTTGGGAAGCTCTTAGTCTTAGTAGCTCCTTGGCTCCCCATTTCTGGGAAAATGGATACAACTACAACCATAGCTGCATTCACAACTCCCTCCCCATTCATCACCGGATATATCGAGGTGAGGTCGTTCAGGGGATCTTGTTGCAGCCCAAGGCACAAATCACCGGCCCAAATCATGTTCCATATGGCCCCAGGGTTGAAGTTGTTTGTTTTTCTGCAAATTGTCAGTGGCTTTTGGTGGCAATCTATAGGATTTTAGGAATTGATTGGGTGTACGTTTATTTCGACACAAACTTCGCTGTCAAAGACCATTCCTGAGTTGTTTTTTTTGACGGAAAAATGATGACAAATCCATGTCTCAAAGATCTGTTCATTTCAATGTGAGGTCCTGCCGTCTTTCTGCACTTTTTATGGTTGAAATCTTTAAGATCCTGCCGTCAGCCAAAGGATCTGCATCAAGCAACCATGCTCTGCCCATCACAGGCGCGCCCTGTGTGTCTTTTGAGGTCCAAGGCAAAATGACAAAAGGAAATATATGGATTTTTTGGAAAAAAAACTTACAAACCCCCAGCCTTCAGTAAATCAAGATGCACATGGAAAATCCATTTCTAGAAAGCCATCTGTTGATGATTTTTCCTCCTTTTCCTGTGGTTGGGATGTTCCCATTTCGAAAAAACCGCACCTGCCAATCGTCGGTGGCATGGATTGCGGCGTTGAAGGAGACCACGTTGGGAGCCACGCGCAAAGAATGGGAATCGAAGAAGAGGGCCTATTGAGGAAATTCCACTGACCCTGGCAACTAGGAATGATCATAGGAATCTTGTTGGAATATACTTGGAATATTAATGGATATTAATATATGGAATATAATATATTAATGGAATATTAATATTAATGGATTATATTAGTGGATATTAATAATCATATTGGAATTTAATATATTAATGGAATATTCATGGATATTGTAATAGTTGGTTGGAATAGTAATGAATATTGTTGGAATATAGTTGGAATATGGTTGGAATATTATGGTCGGAATATGATTGGCGATGACGGGAATTAGTTGGGATTTCCTGGAATATAAGCAATAACTTGGCACATAGTCACCACTAATTGGACCATAGTTCGAATATCAATTGGCAATAATCGGCATTAATTGGAATATACTTCAGATATCATGGGAATTATATAAAACATGGCAAAGTCGTCATGGGGGGTTCCTTGACATGGAAATCTACCCGGCTTCGGCTGGGCTCCCTGCAAAACTTTGTTGCCACTCTTGAGCGCCGGAACCTATGGTGTTCATGGGCCTTTCACCTGATTTCACCTTCGCCAAAACTGGACACCTTTCACAGTCCCCCCGAAGAAACAAGACGGGTCCTAACCCCAAACCGTTGGTTTTCCCATTTTGGGCCTCCCCCATTGTAGGAAACCCCCAAAGCTGTGGCAAAACTGTTGACCATGTTGATCTGGGGCGCCCCACATGCTGACATGGCTGTATTTAAGCCTTGGTCGTGAACACTGGGGATTTCCTGTTGCCACGTGAAAAAAATCACCGGAGCGTATGACCACGAAAGAACAACCCTCTGGTAAACAAACATAGCTATTGAAAATGGCCCGTTGATCTACCCATGAAAATGGGGATTTTCCATCGTTTTTTGTATGTTTACCAGAGGGTAACAATCTGAAATGCCAAGTTGTGGTGTTTGCAACCGTTTAGATGTTGAATCATGCTACCCTCTGGTAATCAAACATGGCCAGCTGAGAAATCCACCATTGAGTTCCATGATTTTCCCAGCTAGAAACCTCCATTGCTAGTTCGGGGATTTCCCGGCCAGCCATGTCAGGGTAAACCCACTACTATCCCATTGTTCTCCCATCATGATCCTTATTAAAACATATTAAACCATATTAAAACCATATGGAACCATATTAAACCATACATTAAAGCCATATTAAACCATGTTAAACTACCATATGGCTTTATATTGGTAAATGGAACCATATTAAACCATATTAAACTAGAATTTTGTCCCGTCATTTTCCAATGATTCTCCCAGCAACAAACAAATAACCCACCTAAGCTGCCAGGCTGACTGCATCCGGTTTCACATCCAACCAGGATGGGGCAGCCTGGCAGCGTTGGGCTTGGGATTTTTTCACCGTGAAAACGAGCTGGTTTCACCATGGAAACTGTTCGACCTCCCGAGCCCTGGTTCATCATGGTTAGATGGTAAGGGGAATCATCCCCAAATCGCCGAACAGTAACCAGGTGAGTGAACTATAAAAAAAAAATCACTCAGGTATTTTTGGACCATTATGATCATTATGAAACATGATCAAAATGGAGATGTCTGGAAACCCAATAATTTGGGCAAACCTAAAGCCAGAAACATGGCCCACCTTCACCAGCGCCAGGGAGGCTTCCCAGCAAGCGATTTCGGCGCAGCTTTGAACCTGACGAGATCTTGCCGGAAAATGTGGGATTTTTGTGGGGGAAATCGATATTTTCGGGAAAATCAATGGGGATTTTATAGGGCAAACCGGCAAACCCACTATAAATCTATAAATGAAGATTTGAATCATGTTGTCGGCTACTCATATGTTTCTAGCTGGGAAAATCTCCACGCTATAGCTGAGGAATTGTCCGGTGATGACTAACATTAATCAACGCCTGGATCCTGAGAAAAAAGGTGCCTTTTTTCGGGGCAACGGCCAGTGGAACCATGACATGACGATTTTCTGAATCTGTAGATTTGGGGTCCCACCGCAATGGACAAACCCAATGATTTTGGAGTCAGTCCCCAAGCCTCACCAATTTGGCTTTCACCTGTGCTTCCCGGCCACGGAATTCAAGGTGATTTGATCTGGAACGCAGCTGCCTGGAACGCTTAGCTCCTCAGCTGCAACCGCTCAGAGAAAACGAAAATTGAAGTGAAAACAATGTTAAACACCTGGTGTTCCATGATTTTTGGGGGCTTTAAACGCCTTCTAGCTGCTAAGAAAAGCATTTCAGGAACTGAAAGCCACAGCTCCTCCGCTACCTTCATATGAGCTTCCCAAGCTGAGAATGCCCCCCTGGCAGCATCTTCCAGGCAGCACAAAATGATTGACTCCCCATTTTGGTACCCTCGAGGAATTCAGAAACGATAGTGAAAAACAACCATTGTCAACAAAAATGATCTACATTCATGGTGGATTTTCTATCTCTAGTTGATCCCTATAAATCCCCATAGGTTCCCACCATTTTCCGCTCAAATCGCCACGAACCGTGCCTGGCCCGCGCACCAAACGCCTGGTGCTGCGGCGTTGTGTGTGCAACTGATTCTCTACATCTATACATGTAGGCTAAATGTATAAATGTATATATATATATGTATAGCATTTTATATAGTATCATATATATATATATGTATAATTATATATATAATTATATACATATATATAGAGTGTGTGTGTGTGCGTGTGATTTTATTTGATTTATATGTCCGTGTAATATCTCTCGATATGTTTTACGTTTCATCCAACTCTACCCCTCAGATCCTGGTTGCAAAGCTCGTCATGCGCGCTGCTTGGCCTGTGGCAAAAACGACAAGGTAAATGTAAAATGTCTAACTTTTTTTTGGATCTCTTAGCCTCTGGTAATGACTAAGAGTTTGCGAACTGGAAAATGGCCATAGAAATAGTGGTAATTTATCTCTTCAACTTGGGGACTTTCCATCTTTTTTTGATAGGTTTACCAGAGGGTACCTGGCTGTTTTTCTCCACCTGGTCCAGCGCATCCATGCGTTGAAGGGCACCACAGTGAGCTGCAGCCCATCTTGCTGAAGCACCTTGGGCCCCATGGGATGAAGCAGTGGTTAGTAGGGGTTAGTCAGTGGGCTTAGGGCTTATGACCAGATATAGGGGTTAGTAGGGGTTAGTCTCAGTGTGTAACTGGTTTGATAGAATAACCAGTCAGCAGTTCATAACCAGGATCATCCCACTTCATAAGTGGTCCATATGGGAACACCACTTACACATGGTTCAAATGGGATATTTAAGCCTAGGAATCAGGGACTTTAACCGATCACCAGGGACCAACCAGTTGCTCAGTTGGCTGATCCCAGTCTTTACATGATTCTTTGGCTATAGTGATCTATTAATTCACTGTTTTCCTTCTCTAAATTCAAGTTGGTCTCTCCAACTCCACCAGCTCTGCTTCCCACCTCCAAGACCTGCGTGGCCATCCTCCATTGACGCTGCTGACCTCGGGTGTCCCCATGTGTTATTGCAGTTCTCCGTCTCCCCACTGTATCTCCTTCTCTGTCGAAACATTCTCTCCCTCTCTCCATCGCAGTGAGAAAAAACTCTGTTTCACCATCAAGTTCATAGTCCTCATTAAAATCCTGCCACGACAGCTGAGACCCTCAGGCGCCAGCCACAAACACTCACAGCAGCCGTTGCCACACGAGACCACTCTGCCTTTGGCAAGGCCTTGTGGCAAAAGAATCCCATTCCTATCGTCTTTGGTGCTAGATGAAACCGATTTTGAGGGGAAGTTGATCATGTAACTGGCTTTTGTCGGATTTGTTGCCCAAAATGCATCATGTTGGGAAGAAATTGAGTTTTTGGATGGAAGAGCATGGAAGAGCAAGTTGATGGCTCTTTTTTCATGCTATATTCCATCATATTCCCCAACATGCGCTCAGAACTTTAGGGGAACTCTCAGGTAAACACCACTTTGATCTGCGGTTGTCACCTTCGGTCTTTGATCACACGCATCACTGGAGTCACTGGTGTTTCCCATTGAGTCTGGTTTCATGTTCAGAACAATTGCAGGAACCAAAGCGATGTTATGATAAATGTGTAATGTTTATTAATATATATATATATATATGCATGTATATATATATACAGTATATAATATGTGTATATATATATATACATGTATAAATATACATGTTGTACCCACCAAAATCTGGTAGCTGAGCCGTCAGCCTTCGTATTCCACTTGCCAGACCTCACGCGAAAGTTTTGGTCTGCCAAAGGGGATGGGCACGCGAAAGTTAAGCCCCCGTTGACTAAAGGAAACCGGTGCCATGTGGAGGTACAACAACTGGGTACGGTATCTCTCTATACCCAGTTGCCTAGATTTTTGGAGGCTTGTGGGAATCAACCACACCACGTTTACGTCCAAAAACTTAAAACATTCACCATGATTGGATGACCCCCCAAACCTCTCTGTGCAAAGTTGATCAAAGTTGCACCTGTCTGAGATTTCGAAACAGCAACTTAAAAAAATCCTGATTCTGTCCAAAAATATATGGCACCCCCAAACTCGGTTTTAGAAAATCAGATTCTAAACCATTGGATTTGGCCATAAATTGGCAGACCAGCTGCACGCCTCACCATCTTCAAGATCCAGCAGCCCTGCTGCCAAGCCCCTGCCCGGCCAGTCGCCTCAGCATCTTGCCCCTTGCGACTTCTTCATGCTGAAACTCGTACAAAATCCCCTATGGGGATGAGTCAAACCCATATTTTCCACTAAATTTGGAAGTTGAACATCCATAAATCCCAGCTATTTGGCCAACTACAGGAGCCAGCTTGGCACCCTCCCATCCCAAGTGACCAGCAGGGCGGAGGCCAAAGCGCCCCCATCTGGTAGGAGACGGCGAGAGCTGAAGTCCTGCGGTGACATTTGTTTTTTCAGGTAACATGCACGTTGGGTAGGCTATGTTGATTATATTTTGGGGATTTTTGGGGTGAATATTTTGATGAAGAGGGTACACCCTGGTTACCTGAAGTGGGAACCATAAATATCTACTCCTGATTGGACCAGAAATAGGTGGGATTGGAACCATTCCCAAGTGGAGGTTTATTGACATAGATTTATCATACCTGGTCATACCTCTTTAGTGGGTTTAAATTCTAAGGAGAAGCCACGGCTCACCACAGGCCATTGACGGCCGATGAAATCCCCCCCGGTTTCGCGACCCCAAAATAATGGCACCAGCCAGTACTGAACCATGGCTTTCCTAAGCACCAGCCAGGTGGATTTCGGTGTCCTCCAAGAGCATCAAAGCCATCTGCCATTGCCCACTCTTCTCACAAGCTTGCAAGGCTGCACCTGGGTGCCCACATCAGCTCGCAAAGGCTGTTTGCATGTTTGGTGAAATTTGTTAGCTATTGTTCTTACCATCGTAAAGGCCAACGCGGGGGCGTCCCTGCATTTTTTTTTTTCCCTAAAACCTCCGGGAACAGATTTTCAGCAACTTTGCCATTGACTCTTCAATTGTCCTGTCATAAAATGGTGAGATCCATAGTTTTCATGTGAAAACCTCACCACCTCACGGCTTTGTCATCGAGGTCTCGACCCAAACAGGGCAAGTCCAGCACCTCTTCTGCTGTGAACAGCAGAGTCACGGCTGAACGCCACAAGGCTCGCCTGGTGGCCGAACTCGACGTCGATCAATGGGGAAATGTTCTATTTCTACATTCTGGTGATCTGAAATAACCATAGGAAATCAGGAAAATCAGGGAAATCTTCGAACTAAATGAGCTATGTTTCATGGCTATGCTAGTTTTTCATAGGGCATAGTGAATAAGAGAGCTAGCCTCTGCGTATGATCATCCGTTTTCAGACCAATGACGTGTCCTTTTGGAAACACCCAATTGGACCCTCTTGGTTGTCACGGGGGGAAGTGTCCTTGCGCATTGATGGTGATAATCCCACGTTGCCGCCATGGTAATTCCCGCTATGTCAAACAAAGCCATCGTCCCTCCATCCCCAATATAAAATACCATGCACCTTTTTGAACTGGTCAGGTCAGCAAACCCTTTGTTTTTTAGCAACAAAAAAACAGGTTCCCTAAACTACTCATCGGTGAAAAAAATCCAACATGGAAGCAGGATGAAAGGTTGGGGTTCATCCCTAGGAAATTCCCAAATTTTGTATCTCCAAATTTCTTGAAAGCTGATCGGATGTCCATCCCACAAAATCATGTCATATCGGTTTAAATGCCAATTGTTGTCGGACGGTATATGTTGATATCCCTATCCCGAAAAGTATTAATTCCACTGTTCTATCTCCAGTAAAATCATATTCATATTCCCATTTATATCAATTTCTTACTGCATGATATCACCAAGTTCATCGATTAAATTAAATCCCCCAATTACTCTATGGAAAATAACAATGCTCTCCCCTCTCCCATTAATGGTCGGCTTACATCCCAATAAAATACATATAGCATCCCAAAATCCATGGGTTTTGTGTTCATTTCTCCCAACAAAAAGCCAAAAAAAAAAACGAAACCGGTTTTTTTTTCTGCATTTCCAGTTTCAGAATTTTCCAGAGCAGGCTGCGATGCTCCAAAAACCCAAGGTTAATTGTTTTCCATAATTACTGGAATCTGATGAGGCTTAAAACCCAGCATTGAAACCTAGAAACCTAGGCCCCACCTGGCCAGGGACGCCAAAAGCACGGTGACCTCTTTGGCGCCATAAAGTGGACCTTGGGCCATGCGGCCCACGACCTCCAACAGCTCTGGACCTTACCGGAGCTGGGCCGAAAATGGTGGCTTTCACCCTGGTTAAATTGGGATTTAACCATCAAACATGGAGATTCTACCATCAAAAAGTGCGAAATATGGAGAGTTAACCTTCAAAAACTTGGATTTAACCAGCAAAACTGGCGGTTTATGCCTCAAAAACTTGGATTTAACATCAAAAATAGGTTATTACACCAAGAAAAAAACATCTCTGTCAACATGTGCCACCTGTTTCACATGTTTTGTGCATGTGACTTGAAGTCACCTACGAAAACGTACAATAATGATGTGTTGACATGATTTGACCGATCAAAATTGGGATATGAACACACATGAAACCGGAAAGAACCGCAACAGTGGTGATGGTGACGATGACGATGACGATGATGATGATGATGATGATGATGATGATGATGATGGTGATGGTGATGCTGATGATGATGATGATGATGATGGTGATGGTGATGATGATGATGATGATGATGATGATGATGATCATCATCATCATCATCATCATGATCATGATCATGGTGAACATGGTGAACATGGTGATCATGGTGATCATGGTGATCATGGTGATCATGGTGATCATGGTGATCGTGTTGATCATGATGATCATGTTGATGATGCGCATCTTCAAGTTCGATTTCACATGCACGTGCACGTGCACGTGCATGCGGTACATGTACATGTGCACGTACATGTGCACGTACATGTGCACGTGCATGTGCATGTGTCTGCCGATGTTTCCGCCAAAACTGTTCAACCACAAGTGGTGCTTGAAGTCCTCACCCCTATCATCTCAGTGCGGAACCGGTGGGCGTCGCCGGGTTCTGCAAGATCTGTAGGGCAGAAACTTTGTCTGCTTGTGCTCTGGAGGCTGACCTGATCACGGCATATGGGAACTTGTTCATCCTTCGTCCTTCGTGCCAACTGCTCCCTACCGCGTTCCGAACCTTGAAGTGATGGTGCCATCGAAGTTCCTAGCAACCAACAGCTCTAAGGGCAATGGTGGCAGGTCACCAACCCCTTCGTGTTGACCTAAGATGCTATGTTCGAAACTAGAGGGACGTCCTCTTCGTCTGGCCATGCCACATCTGCGAGCCGCCCCATGGCGCACTAAGACACGAAGTGTCCGAACCACCAAGATGAATGCTGAAAACGACGAGGGGGAAATGGTTTCAAAGGATTCACTGCCTCATTTGTTCCTCCGTAAGCTGGATAAATTGTCCCACCAAATATATGTTCAAAAAGGCGCAATTTTTCGTACGACACTAGGGGGGCATACCTGATCAACCAAAACACCTCAAACCCACCGTTTTTTTTCTTTCGTTGCAGTGAATTTGCTGTATGTTCCCTTCCCCTGGTGCCTTACAGAGGAAATCGGTATATCTTTGCATCTTTGACCGTTTGATTAAAAAAAACACCAAAACGACTACTATGCGTGGTTACCAAAAAGGGTTGTGTCCAAAATGTGTAGTCAATTGAGCTGCGGAACCCTGCATGTTGATAGGCATTTGACACGTAACCTTTGGCATGTTTTTACCTTCGGACCAAACAAACCTGCACTGGCCGTGTAGTGGGCTGCAGCTGCTGGAACAATCCAAGGCCACGGCAATTCGAATGTCGAGGTTTTGCCTCCATGGCCTTTTCCGGGATGTCTTGTTTTGGTCACTTGCTCAATTCCAGAATCTTAGAAAACCCTTCACCCCATGATTTCACTGCCTATCACTGCCTTCTAAACACCAAAGGCAACATCTTTGATCACATCAAAAATGCAGAATAAACAATGCCGGCGTTTAAGGGGTTCCAAAAAGTTCCCTTCAAGGTTGGACTTTGAATAACCTAGTGAAAAGGTGTCGATTCATTTCAATCTACATAACTTCATAATACTTCATATATTTTTATGTTTTTTCTCTTCTTCTCTCCTTCGTTCTTCTTTCCTTTGTTTCCTTCTTTTTCCTGCTTCTTTTCCTGCTTCCTTTTCTTTGGTTCTTGAATCTATGCCGTGGGGTTAAAAAATGTCGACCTTTTCCAAGAGTGATTGCTCGAACCCACCTTGCAATCACATCATATCACATCCATGTTCGTCTGCATGAATGCGTCTTGCCGGTTTGTGCAAGATGCTCTTCCCAAGACGTGTTCTTCCTTCTGCAGGCATGCGGAATTTAAATTTATGTTCGATCTGAAAATTAGTTTGATCACACGGGCAAACAGCTTGAAAATAATTCAAACTACTGAAATTCATTATTGTCCTTTGACCTAGTGAACGTGGCACCATGTAGTGTGAAGAAAACAACCGTAACCGGATGTCCATGCAGAAGTGAAACATATTGCAACGGTGGTCACTGAAGAACATGTAAAGATGGTGTCTTTGGTTTGACTGGATCGGTGGAAGCACAAACAAAAGCCATGAAATCTGGATGATTTCAATGAAGAACCAGACCCTCCACTCCGCACCCTGGCCAAGAGTTTTGGAGCGCGCTGCATCACAAATGACCACACAAATCACTCCAATCAGGCAGTCTCATGGTCCTTGCCGTGAAACCTCTGAAAAGAGAGTTAGAACTGCTACTATCATCCAAGCATGAACCTCATCATAGTTTCATCGTGCCAAGAACTGCTTGGGGATCTGGATGAATAAGTGAAGCTACATGCAGAAATGCTTGTACAGTAAATAACCACAATCCAAGTCCAAGATAGTCACAATCCAAGTTGCTGGAAAAAAGTTGCAGGAGATTTCCTGAAATCAGCAGGAAAACCAGCGGAGACTTTTCTGCCGGAGAGTTTTTCTTCAGGAAATTACAGGTGGATGCAGAAAAACCCGTCCGGTTTTTTCGGAAATCACTTCCTTCGCAGCCTGGCCGCATTATGAATGTATTGTTTCCGTTGCAGTTTTAGTTGCTGTAAAACCTTTCCGGGAAAAAACGATTTCATCCTGCTGAGAACCGATATGATTGGCGCAGTCAAGTTGTGGAAATTCCTGAGCCGTAAGCATCGAAAGCAATGGCAAACTAAGTGAAAACAAAGTAACGAAATACAAACAGGTGGCCCAGCAATTGGCTGAAACGTTTTCCAATGGACTTCCAAGCGCGTGACCGGAACAACCGTAGAACTCCGTCACGTGATGCGTTTTCTCCTGGGCCAATTCCAAAGTGATGCACCCCGTGATGGGCACTTGCCAAGCTACTCCGGGCTGCAGCTGGGGTGAAAAATGGGTATAACAGTATAACTTCGGTAAGCATCACCATAAGTTAAGATTTAATCATAAGTTATAACAATAGACAATAGCTAAGATAAATATACATATTTATATTATATTATATATCTAATCCCCACCATAATTGGTTCAAAAGTCCACTGGTAGGTATGCAGCCTTTCAAGTTGGTACCTAGCCTCTCAGCTCGCATCCCTGGCAGGAGCGCCTCGCCGTTGAGACTGAAGCCGCTGAAGCCTTCACAGCCTATGGGCACCTCTCGGAACCGTGAACCGAACCCGGTGAACCCTCAGATGGACCAGATTTGTGAGTTACAACAGCTGTGTTCAACTCATGCTGTTACGTATTTGATCGTATTTGTCACTAATGGTTACACTTATGGTAACCTTTGGTCCTGTGCCAATGCAATCATGAATTCAACCGCGAGACGATATCCAAGCTACATATTGAAAGAGCACCAAGCTCGATGTTGCTAGAGCTACTAGTAGTGTCAAGCTTGCTCCCATATTCCATAGTCGTGGTTCACATGTCCCATCCCTGACACTTCCACCGTTTACCTGTGCAGGTGTGTCGTCGCAAAGGGCTTCCTCGGAACGTGGCACAGAGCACGAAAACTCCGAAGTTTCAAAGTCCAAAAAGCGCAAGGAGATACAAAAAGCGCAGCTAAGAATCCCAAGGAATGCATGGCTTTTGGTGACGGGCGCAAGCGTTGCCAGATGATACAGGTCATCCGCCTCGTCGAAACCCGAAACCTGGCATCGGTTCCAGCGCCGGATGCCGGGACAGGAAGCGTATGGCTGCGATCAAAATCTGGTAACAAGTGGTGCAGTGATGCCAACCAAGCGTCAAGGGAAGATCCGATACAATTGCACGGTGGTTCAGCAACATATCCCACATGTATGGCAGCCCGCTCAATCTCGGTATTTTTTAAGACAAAGGGAAAATATCTTCAGCCACTGCCTTCCTTGAGGCTGTTGTGCAGCCAAACTTTCTGGAGACTCGAGAGACCAGCAAAGAGACCATCGGGAAGTGCACTGAGCTGGTTGTTGTGCAGCGCCAACACTTGGAGCCTCGAGAGACCAGCAAAGAGTCCTTCGGAAAGTGCACTGAGATGGTTGTTGTCCAGCCCCACTTGCTCGAGACTCGAGAGACCAGTAAAGAGTCCACTGGGAAGTGCACTGAGGTGATTGTTGCTCAGATCCAAAACTTGAAGACTCGAGAGACCAGCAAAGAGTCCTTTGGGAAGTGCACTGAGCTGGTTGTTGTCCAGCCGCACCTTCTGTAGCTTCGACAGACCAGCAAAGAGTCCTTCGGAAAGTGCACTGAGATGGTTGTGATCCAGCGACACTACCTGGAGCTTCGAGAGACCAGCAAAGAGTCCTTCGGGAAGTGCACTGAGCTGGTTGTTGTCCAGCCACACCTTCTGTAGCTTCGACAGACCAGCAAAGAGTTCTTTGGGAAGTGCACTGAGCTGGTTGTTGTCCAGCCACACCTTCTGTAGCTTCGACAGACCAGCAAAGAGTCCTTCGGGAAGTGCACTGAGGTGGTTGTTGTCCAGCCACACCTTCTGTAGCTTCGACAGACCAGCAAAGAGTCCTTTGGGAAGTGCACCGAGGTGGTTGTGATCCAGCGACACTACCTGGAGCTTCGCGAGACCAGCAAAGAGTCCTTCGGGAAGAGCACTGAGCTGGTTGTTGTGCAGCAACACTTTCTGGAGCCTCGAGAGACCAGAAAAGAATTCTTCGGGAAGTGCGCT